CACTTAAATACTGGAGAATCTTCTACGAGAGGTGACGTAAGCTATTATCTAAACATCGAACGGCTTAGAACTTCCACTATAAATCTACGAAAAAATTTTACTGACAAGCGAACGCCCGTTGGGCTATATTTAGCAGCACCTGGCACTGTATGTTCATCGTCACAATCAACTAAAGATTTGATTTTTAAAGAGCTCTGTTTTTTAACAATGGCGGATGAGGTTGTTCTCTTGGATTTCTGGTCAAGCCCTTTTGGAATGAGAGTCAGAATCGCTTTCGCCGAGAAGGGTATTCACTGGGAGTACAAGGAAGAGGATACGAGAAACAAAAGTCCCCTACTCCTGCAGATGAACCCGGTTCACAAGAAAATCCCGGTTCTCATCCACAATGGTAAACCCATCTGTGAGTCTATGATCCAGATTCAGTACATAGATGAGGTATGGAGCGACAAGGGTCCTCCTTTGCTTCCCACTGATCCTTACCAGAGAGCTCATGCCAGGTTCTGGGCTGACTATATTGACAAGAAGGTAAAACCCCTTGAATGTCTCTAATTATTATGTATGTTATTTTCAGTTTTGTCGCTTATAGTGGTTTGATTGGCATGGTTTCTCACAAGATCTGAGTTGTACTTGCAGGTGTTTGAATGTGGGAGGAGGATTTGGACGACGAAAGGGGAAGCACAGGAGGCGGCTAAGAAAAAGTTCATAGAAATCTTGAAGACTTTGGAGGGAGAACTTGGGGAAAAGTCTTATTTTGGTGGGGAGAGTTTTGGGTATGTGGATTTGGCTTTCATCCCATTCTACACCTGGTTCGGTGTGTATGAGAGTTTTGGGAAGATGAGTATAGAAGCAGAATGCCCTAAGTTGTTTAGTTGGGTGAAAAGGTGTTTGGAGAAGGAGAGTGTTTCAAAATCTCTGCCTGATCAAGATAAAGTATACGGCTTCGCTTTGGAACTCAAGAAGGCTCTTGGGATTTGAGTTTTGAGAAACTTCAAAACCCTTGTTCCATTTCCATTAGGGTTCATCCTCCAAGTATGGATTAAAAGAGGTTCTTGATCAACTACTGTATTTTTCTAGTCTTTTACTGTTGTTTAGGAATCAAGGAGGTCTCCTTTTGTGGATTTGGTGAGATGTCTGTCAATGTTGTGGTGGGGATATATATGTCATGTCAATTTCTTGTGTGTTGTAGACAAATTATTTTTCGAGTAAAAAGTCTTCTTTCTTCCGATATGATAGAAATTAATGTAGTCATAATGTATGTATCTTTTTAAGAATAATTTTGCTGCATATATATATATTTTTAAAAAAAAAAAAACAAAAAAAAAAATACAAATAATATAATATTATCTTTT